TGCTTGGGTATTACTTACATAAACAAAAATCAATGTTAATGTTTTAGTGTTTAAGAAATGTAAATGCCACAACTGTTGCTCTTTGTGAACCAGTACGATGTTTGAGTTACCAAAAAAATATCTAAGATCTGACAGTGAAGTCTTCTGTTACCTATGGAAATCTTGCTCCCTTCCCCTTCTCCTTTATCTGAACAAAATATGCAGCTCTGTACAGGTCTCCTGCAACTGTTAAGCTGAGTGCTTTAAAATGAGTGTTTCTAAACATATGACTTGCACCTCTCAAGGGAGATCTGTAATGTAAAGTGGCAGAAAGTTTTGATGTGGTGCAAATAGTTTGGTTGCAGCTCATTTCTGCCAGTTAGAACAATGAATTTAGGTACATACAGTCAGTAACTGTAGGGTGTTTTCCTCTTTCTTCTGGATGAACCATGCTTTTGCTGCTGCAAAGGACTTTTCACGTAACCATGAGCCAGAAGTATTCATACTTATGAAGAACTTAGGGATATTAAGTGTTTATTGTTTCATAGAATCAGTACATGGACATAGCTATCTTCCTGAAGTGTCTGTTGAGCTACTGCTGTAATTTGGGGGCTAGAACACAAGTCTAGGGAGGAAAAAAGAAAGTAAACATTTAAGATGTATTTTAACATAAGCATAGGTATAAGCAGAGTTGCAGTTTGGGGGTTGTCTATAGCCATTTTCTTTGAATAGTTACTTCAATCCCTCATATTCATATTTTAAAGTTTAAAAATCCCTTTTTAAGAAGTGTTAAATTTTGAATGCCTTTTTTTGCAGTAAGTATGCTTTTGATTAATTGATGAACATCTTACAGTCAATGAACCTTTCTTATGCTTTAGAATAGAGATCTGGAATCTCTAAACGTTGGCACTATGTTACTTTATCACATCTTAATGAGTCTAATCATGTCTAAAATACATCTTTTCATATTTAATGCTTTTGCCAAGCAGTATTTTTTCAAAAGAGAAACAACTCTTGCATTCAAAACAAATACTTTCATTATTTTGACATTTTCATTCTTAACTGGCACTTAAAAGGATCATTAATATCTTCAAAGGACTAGCTGAGCCTTTATGACCTAATCTTAATTTTTAAAATGGATAATTTTAAATCCATTTGACTGATGAAACACCCTGAAAATGCTGAATCTGAGTTGCCCTGAAGTTGAGTGGTAATAGTTTTTTGAAGGCAAAACATGGCAGCGGTAGGAAAAATATTACCATGAAAAGTGGTGTTGAGACAAAAATCTTAAAAGTGCCTCAAAAAACATATTTGCTCATTTGAAAATTACACTTGACTTCTTAGTGAAAAAGGAAAAGTCATAATGAGTAAAAGTGCTTAGACCTGATTATTTAAATAATAATTTTTCAAAAATTCCAAATTATGTACTGAATAATATTTAGAGTGTATATACAGGAGAAGCATATTAAGATTTAAAATGTTGTCTAAAATTTTAATTAGTTATGCTAGGTTGCAATCTTCCTTTAACACTTGTAGGAGTAAACATATATTCAATATAAAATAATGTCAATGTAGTGAAGTTTTTGGCTAGCAAAAAATATGTTTCTGTGAAGATAATTTGTTCTGAAGATCTTGAAAAGATTGATTTACAAAGCTGTCATGCTATGTTCTTGATGTTATCTTTTGCACAGTTGCAGATTTAAAAGATATATGCATTTAAATGTTTTTCTTTTATTCACAAGGCAGAACCTGAGAAACTGTCTCCGACTGCTAACTGCAGGAATTAATTACTTTGTGGAGCTACTCCTATGAAAGAAGTTACATACTTAAAATGCTCAGATGCTCCATGATAGTATTATCAATCTGATCTGTCAAGACTGGAATTCTCAAAATTGTCGTCACAGTAAGCTTACACAACCTCCTTAATGTGAACAGAATTATGTTCCTAAGGAGGACAGTGTACCTCTACTTAAATTGCTAAGATTCACCACAAAATAGAAAGTGATTATTCAAGTGCAGCAATGTCAAAGGTCAGGAAAAATTATATAAGCACTCTTTTTAATTATTATTTATTTTTATTATTAATTAATTACATGAAAACTTTTGCCTTAGTAAATGAAAATATTTCAGAATACTTGCAAAGTCTGTATGTGATGTGTTTGACTAAGATAGTACCATTCAGCTGATCTTGTTAACAGGTTTCTCAGAAATGTGTTAGTGCATTAGAAAGTTGTATGATGGGAGGCCATATACTAGGGGTGAGCAGTTGGATTTGTGAGCACCAATTGCCAGTCAAGATGTCAAAGATGAGGTTTGGTTGTAGTAAGTGGAAGTTCTAACAGTTCATCATTTGAGATCTACTAAAAAATCTGTTAACTCCCAGCAGGGCACCTGATAAAAGCTATCACATTCATAGTCATAAAAATTGTCTGGAACAAAAAAAGAGGCCTTCAGTTATTTCCAAGCAATGTTTTCAATTTGAACTGGGGAATTAAGTGACACTTGTCTCATCCTGTCATTTGTAATACAAACTTGTATCTAATTTATATGAAACAGTTAAATATTTTAGATATTTGTGCAGTCTGTTGTAGAACTGTAATTTGGAAGAGTGTATAGAGAAGCAAGAGCTTGTATAATCTAAAAAAATGAAAGAAACCAAACAGTTTTGTGTTTTGGTCTCATAAAACTACAGCACATTTTGTTTTATAATCTCTGTTCGAGCCCTTAGCTTCACAGCTGAAGAAAAGTAGTAATTAGGCTGTGTTTCCCAGTAAGTCAAGAGAAAATGCTGAAAAAATACTAGAATCAGCAAATCTGCCTTTGTCTTAGTAGGCTTGTATGGGGACAGTTTGAATTTTAAATGAGTCAGTTACACAAGAAAGAGAATCCAGGTCAGTCTGTATGTATAATGGATTTACCATACCAACAGAAATAAAAGTATTTAAAGCTTACTTTTAATCGTTAGGTGGATAATTAAAGCACTACTGCTGTGATGAATGTTAACAAATATGGCAGTTGCCTGTCCTGCTTCTCCACCCTTGATGAACACCTGACACTAAAATGAAATATAATGAGAGGATAAATAAAAATATGCCATTTTGTTACTACTTCTGAAGCTGTATTGTAGTTTCACCCAGCTTGCAGTTAGACAAATGATGAATACTACAGTTAAGCTTTAAACAATTAGGTGAATGTGTACAGGGTGAGTAGGCTCTACATGTCATATCATTTTGGTTAAACTTTTATGCCAATATATTCAGTCATTATCCTTCTTAAGTATTTCCCTGTTTGTCTGTCTTAAAATGTAATCCCCAGCAAAGATGGTAACAGTTGGCTATTTATCTGTTTTACCATCTCACCTCCCTGGTATCTTCAGCTGTTTCCTGGACATGCTGCAAAAGGCTTTGGTATATAGCTTCTGATAGGCCAGGATGCTGGCAAGGTACACATTCTGAAATGCAGCATATCTGTAGAGAACAGCTGGAATGCTGTTTCTATAGAAATGAGCTTTGCTGGTGTTCTGAGCAGTGATGGGTAAGCTTTTTAGGTTAAAACTAGCCCTTTTGGCATTGTGGTTCTCAGGAAAATAGCATTATTTACTCCTGGCATTGAGTATGAAATGGAGCATTTTTGGGGAGGTAAAATAGGGCACTGTTTACATTTTCACGCAGACTCTGCATATAACCTTTTTAAAGAACACTGTAGGTATTCTAATTCCAAAATCACATGCATTGTAGCTCATAATGTTTATCTGAGAGATAGTGACTTTCACTTTTGATGAAAACTGTAGGTAGAAAATAAGCACTTCTTATATATTTGTTGCATATTTATCCTGGAGAGCTGAACAGAACTGTAAAGACTGAAAATGTAGATCTGTTTATCAAGGAGTGATAAAATCCAGGGCCTCTGTGTTGTTCTAAAATTGTTATTACTAGTTGCATGTGATTGGAATTAGTTTCAGCATTTTATACCTAACTAGCTCCATATGTCATAGAGCCAATAGGCTGTTTTTCATAGGAAATGTAAATTTGTCATTGTGTGTTTTATCCTTTTGGCTTTCTCTTCCTCATTCAAGTGAAAACTTTTGTTGGCTTTTTTAATACATTACATAAATTACCTATCTAGAGGGAATTCTGTCTCAAAAGTATGCATCTTTCCTTTTCACACTTCGGTCATGGTACTTTTAACCTGCTCTGGAGCAGCTGATGATTTATGATTAGAAAGAAGCCTTTTGAAAAGTCATCTTTTGTTGTCTATTTTGCAGGGGGTATTTCTGGTGTCGTGGATATTGACTAGTTAACTTCTTCTTCTTTAACTTTTAGTGATGTGTAAGTGAATGGATATCATTAGCTCATTTCAAATAGAAATTTTCAGTTACTGCAGACCTAGATTTGAATCAAAGCATATAAAGATGAAAGGCTTTATAACTCAGTACTAGTCCCTTGAGCCTTCCAAGCTGTTGTTGTCCTTTTAAGTTGGTGCATGTCCTGTAATGGGAAAAAGAATTATTTACAGTTCAGTTTCTTCCCAGAATAATCAGTTATCTTTGGATTGATTTTTAAGTCTTTTCTGTAAATTTCTTATTCAGCAGTGCAGGAAGATTTTAATTTGCTTTTTGCTGTGTTTTGTTTTTTTTTCCCTCTGTAGTAGCAAGAGTTAATAAGAAGCAGAGATTCTAAGATGCAGTACAGGAATTACTGTTGTCATTTGTGGTTTAAGAAAAGGGGGTGGTTTTCAGCTCTTGAAAGGGCTTTAATGAATACTGTTTGGTGTTTTTGAGAGCTAATGGTCAGAGAAAAGCAACAGAAAACAGCCTTGGAGCTTTTAGGGTAAACTAATCAGGGTTTTTCCCGATTAAGGTGATTGTTTCTCCTTTTTATCTCCGGATTTTTCACCTCTGTTGCCTTTTGTTTATATTCAAATGACATACCGTTAAAGAAGCCTTTTTAATATGATTGCCATGCTTTCTACCCTCCAGTAGAAAATCTGCTTGCCACAGACAGGCAGAGCGTGTTTCACTTGTCTTGGTTGGGTGCACAAATCTTCTTTTATGTGTGCTGCTTCGTACGCCGTTGCCTAGACGATCACTGGCTTTCACTAAGGATGTCTGGCTCTCGTAAAGAGTTTGATGTGAAGCAGATTTTAAAAATCCGATGGAAGTGGTTTGGTCATCAGGCACCAGCCCCTAATTCTGCAATTGAAAACCACCAGGGAGACTTCTGGAATAGAGGACAAAATGTAACAACTGCTGGCACAAAGTTTTTAAATTCAGGTAACCTACCTTTAACATCAGTTGGTTACAGAAGGTCCAGCCAACAGGATTTGCAGAATTTTCATCCTTGGCCAATGGCATCCACCTCAGAAATCCCTACATTTGAATTTGCAGCAGAAGACTGTGGAGGTGCACGTTGGCTTGACAGACAACAAACAGATGACAGAGCAAGTGAAGAAGAAAATGAATCAGACAGCAGTTCGTGCAGGTTAATTATTACTTTCCTATTGTGAGAAATGTGTTGTGTTTCACATTTACATGTAGCATGCATATATAGACTAGCCTTTATTCTATCTTAAAATGCTTTAGAAATGTAGCAGCTGCTGTGCATCAGAAACAGGAAATGTTTTATAATCAGGGTTCTGAATGTTTATTTAGGACCTTTTAAAAGGCAGCTTTAGTCAGTGTGGATAAATAAAGACAAACGTGGATGTACTTGTTTTAAACAGTATACCAAGCACATGCTGCTTTGAACTAGGTACTGTCTGTTACCTGGTGATGTTACAGGATACTTTCTAAATTATTTTGAAGCAACACTGATTGTTTAGTTATGCTGAGAGTTAATCCCATGCCAGTTAGGAGAAAACTATAAAAATGTAAGCTTCTTGTAACTGTTACCTGACATTTCCACGTATTTCTATAGGTGAGAGAGATGAATGGTACAAAATACTGAACTGTAAAACAAAGATTTTATTTTTTTTTTTCTTGTGAATATGCAACTGGAAGGAAAAAAAAATTGAAAGCCAACCAATTTGTGCTCTAAAGTGATTGCAGTTGTCTGTCCAGGTATCTTAAGCTGTGTATCTAGCTTAAAAAGAAAAAAAGTTACTGTGTGTATAAAGATGTTTTGGTGTTCTTCTTTCATATATTGTTACTAAAGATGGAACTGCAAAATTTGTTCTTAAATTAAAGGTATTTACCAGTTGTAAATTAGGCAGATTAATAATCTTTCTTGTTAAACATCAATTTAATTATTTTATTTTGTTTTATTGTATAAGTTGGCCATTCTTCACTGAAAATCTTTTTTGTGACTTGTAGTGTGCATAGTGCATAATAGTTAGCTTGCCATTTCAAGTCAATTTTATGATGTTTGCTTTCTTGTTTTTAAGATAACTTTGCCATGATGCAGCATTTCAGAGTGTGTGACTGAAAGCATACACTGTTAAATAAAACCTATTAAGAACAGATCAATCTAGTTTAGTAGTTTGTGTTTTGCATTCCCTAGGAGAGGAATTCATTTAGTGCAAGGGCAAAGTAGTCCATAACATAAACACCTAACTATTTATGGTTTATGTAACCTTTAAAGATTCAAGGAAAGGAGGGAGGGTAAAAATGCTTAGGAGTCAACACAGTGTCTTTGCTTTTATCACTGAATGGCAAAAGTACTAGAATTACAGGGAAAGGAAATCCTGCATTCTGACTCTTCATAGCAGCAGTCTTGTGCTTGCAACAGCTATACAGCTATAAATAATTATCTCTGAAGAGGTCCTATTTTAAGTGATAAATCAGGTATGAATTTTTAAATAGCTGTGCCGTTGGGTAATATATTATATAGGTGTAACATCACTTTCTATTTCAGCAACATCTACTTGTGATGTGAAATTTTTATGTACAGAATTACCCCAAATGGGATATTCTCACCATAGCGAGGTACTCAGTGTAGAAAAAACATGTTATTTTAAGAGATAAATGTGTAGATTGAAATTGCTACAATTTCTTCTTAATCGTAGGAGAAAAATTTAAATATGACAAACCTAATTTTTTACTTTGTAGAACTGGAGAACCACAGATACTTACTTAGGGGATATAAGAAGTCTATATAGCATTGGGGTTGTGTTTTTTGTTGTTGGATTTGTTTGGTTTTTTTGCGGGCAGAGTTGTATACTACAGAAAATGCACATAGGATTTGAATCTACATTTGAATATATAACTGATATCAATACCAGAACTTGCTTTGTATTGTTATCTGTATCTCTAGTCTCATGGGGAGACTGAACTTAAATAATGTTTTGTTCACTCCCTTTGTTAAGAATGTATAAGCTATTAGCCAGACTTACATAGTCTGCCCAACAGCTGGAATTTTTCTGATACTAAGAACTGACTTAAAATGGTCTTTTTTAGTAGTCTAAAATACAAATGCTTGTGTATGGACTTGAGAGGGAAAAAAAACCCAACACCACCAGCACCATTGTGTGGTTTGCAAAGGGCTTTTTTTTTCCATATGAAAACTTTATTGCCTCTGCTAGGAACAAATTGTATATATTAAAATAATCCTTCTTTACAACCTTTTGTAGAAGCTATAGAGGAGCAAAGAGGTAACTCCATAACTTAATGCCCAGTTACAAGTCATAAAAGCATACAGTGACAGAAGCCCCTTTACTGCTTTGTGTGTATCCATCATCCTTCCTTTTTGCTATGTCATATAGAACAGGTAGACAAGCATTTAGACCAGGTCTTTGTCATTATGAAAGCTTTAAATCATTATGTGATTCATTTAGAGGAGAGCTACTGAAGAAGGAATTTGTTATTAGCACAGACCTTCCTATGGCAAGGATAAGCAAATTCCAAGTTCGGTAGCAGATCTTTGACAAAGCCTGCCTCTGAGATGCAAACAGATAATTCAGATTCAGGGATCAGAGCTAATCCAGCTGTAATGCTGTTCACATCATACTCCTACGTGTATTAGCTTGAATTATTGTTTACTGGGCCAGTGAGTTTTGAATTTTTTTGCTTATTTTGTCTCCTAGATTTCCTCTCTTGCTACTGTTTGTTAACTCTTCTACATTCCTGAGGCAATGGTCTTTGTTTTGGATTTGTACACTTTTTAAAATTTTCCAGTAGCTGTGCAGACTCTTGTAAGGCAGATTTAAGCCCATTAGCAATAGATTTGTTTTTCTTAACTTTTTATAAGTGCCTTAGCAGCAGTCCACAGACCTTAACGGTACAGTGGATATCCAGCCAAAAATACCTAGAGCATTCCTAGTATGCTGAGAATTGCATCTGGTTCAGTTCACCCACACATGCATTAAAATATTGGAATTACTTTACTGTAGAGTTAAGTATTGAGATGTATTAAAATATAATAGAAAATGTATATTTATATTTTAACATAAAATATAAGCAACATTTAAGAATTCATCAGTGGTGTCCTAACCTTAACAGCTTAGTAAGATGTCTGTAATGGATTTTAAGACGAGGTCTGGATGTACTGGGTGGGAGCTGGTCTGCAATATTGCTCTGTATGAACAGGCTTGGAGTTAGTACTTTGTAACTTCCAATTGAAGTCTGCCCTGCCCCTTCTCCCCCAACCCAGTTTTCAATCTACAGAAACCTTTCAGACCCCCTATTTGTGCTGTGTATTTCTATATATCTCCTATCACAAAATAATGCAAACTGTCAAGTAAGGACAGTTTGTAGATTCCTTAATTGTGGCATGATAGTAGCATAATACTTGAAATTAAATGAATAACTATAAAAAGAGCAATTTTTTTGCTAGATACATGCATGAATCAGACAAAAATAAGAAACTTTGTTGTTGAAAGACAAGTTGGTTTACACGGGAAAATCTTGGACCTTATAGCTTCTTCCATACTACTGCTAAAATTACAGAATCACAGAATAATTCTAGTAGGAAAAGACCTTTGAGTCCAATCATTAAACCTAACTCTTCTGAGTCTAGATCTAAACTGTATTCCTAAGCATCAGATCTACACGTCTTTTAAGTACCTCCAAGGATGGTGATTCAGCCACCTCCCTGGGCAGCCCCTTCCAGTGTTTAATTACCCTTTCAGTGATTAAGTTTCTTCTAATATCTGATCTAAACCTCCCCTGGCACAGCTTGAGGCCATTTCCTCTTGATCTTCCTCCCTAGTAACAAGCAGTTACTAGCAGTTTTATTCTCTACAAGGCAGTTGTAGAGAGCTATGAGACCTCCCTGTCATATTCTTCACATCTTTCCAGGGTCACTTCTGTCATCTTTCCATTGTCTTTTCTTATCCTGAATTACAATACACCATGGATTTTTGGCAGTCTTTGGTGTTACCATCTGTGGCTTCTTTCTTTTACTTATGCTCTTCCCAGCTTTTGGAAGAGTGTCTTGATTTTTAACCATTGCTTGCTTTTTCCAAGAATCCTTTCAGCATTCTTCTTTTCAACAAACTCCATTCTCTGCAGCTAAGGTTCTTGCCTTACTGACTTTGAAGAAGGAAATATTTTACTCCATACACAGCATAATGTAAAATCATGGAAGCTGGCATATTATTATTTTAGTAAATTGTGTTCTGGTTTCTGTATGCAATAAATTGTCAGCTAGCTTGAAGACAGCAGTGTAAACAACCAAATTGTTCAATAATATTTTAAACTATTTTTAAATGTATGTAAAACTGCAATGCAGGAAACCATCTTAGTGCAGCAAGAAACTTGCCAAATTAAGATCTGTTTAAAATGCAAAAGGTGTATCCTAGCATGTATGCTAATTTGTCCAAGGGGAGACATACTCTGTCTTCTCTAATGTGTATGACCTAAACAATTTCTCTAATGTGTATGTCCTAAACAATTGACTGCCCTTGCCTAAAGATTACTTGAAATTGCAGCAGCTTGTCTAATTATATTATTACAAAAAAATACTGTAGCAGGACGCTCCATCTCAGTTTCCCTTTGTTTCAGTTGCTCTGTCTCTCAGTTTTGCAGCCATGAGCCTGGAGTGGAAAGGTTCTCATGAAAAAGGAAAGGGCCTAGCAAACTCTGAGCTGGTAGCAACCTTGAAAGGTACAAACAGAGGCCAAGTTGTTCCTAACACCAGCTGGTGTCAAAGAACACAGAGCCCAGCCCAGTCACAACCAGGCCTGAAACAGAGATAAAGTAAGAACAAACAGATAAACAAAAGAGTTTGCTTGGTGAAAAAAGAGCCTTCTTGGCTTTTCCCACTGTTTTCCTTATATTCTCCAATGAGAAATTTTGAAGGTATGGCTAAATAGTTAAATGACAGCAGTCAATCCACTTTATTCTATAAAAGCCTAGTCCCTTCTTCAGTTGGGAGAGACTCCTGTACACTTTCCTTAGGAGGTGTGCTGGACCTTCTCCTCTCCAGTGGGGACCCCTGCTTGAGTGATTACTCTTTCAAAGTTGAGAAATGAAACAAGGGACACCTGGCTGTGGCCAGAGAGGGTCAGACATATCAACTCCCTATATGTCTTTATTAACCAGTTTTAAATATTAAAAAATCTTTCACTGTTAAGTTCTAGAACTTTAAGACCTTAGGATCCCTTTTAGATAATTGCAATTATTGTTTTATTATTTTGTCTATGTATTAGTAATTGTTTTTGATCTAGTGTAAGGCCTATTATTAAGTTGCTAGCATTTAAATGGTTAACCTCTGCCAACTAACTATTAGTTGTGCATTTTATTGTTAAGTTTCCTTTTTGCATTATTGCTTTAACATTCTGTCCCGCTATCCTAATATCCCAAGTTCCATGCAATTTGGTTGAGTTTTTATTTGGTGGTTTGGTCGTTAAGACTTTGTTGCTGTTTGCAATAAATCTTGTGTTGTGCATATACATCTCATCTGCTATCTTGCCCAGGTTGGGGCAAATACCTTGAGATCATGAGTTTGCTGTGCAGTATAGCAAATGCAGTGCCCTGTCTCAAAGTAGACAATTGGCTTACCTTTTTGCTGCGTAGGACTTTTTTTTTTCTTTAGTTAGGAAGCACAGTTATTGGAGATTTGTCTGTTCTAGCAAGAGTATAAATGCCTTTGCTGGTTTTTAGCAGCAGTGAAACTTACAGCTTATTGATGATTCACTAGAGTAAATTCCATGTGCTTCATTTATGATTGCAGAGTTCTGCTTTGATCAGACATAGGCTTTTATTTCATTGACGTTATTCTTGGGTTTACATTGCAAGAATCTAACAGATGTGATTTATAGACAGATGTACTATGCATTATTTTTCTTCCTTTTATTATATTCTCTAAGCACAAGGCAGTCACACCCATTTTAGTGCATGTACTTAATCATTTTCATCACTTATCTTTAAACTTTTATTATTTTGAACCTTTTTGAGGTGTGAATAAAACTAGTAATTTTAGTCTTTTTTCTTTGAAATGGTATGATAGTCTTCTAGTGTCTGTATGTGTTGAGATGTCTATATTGGTTTGTTAATTTTCTGTTTATTTACATGTCATGTTTATAAAGGTTATATTTTTATGCATTAATTCATATTTAAATGATTATGTCAGTTGCTTAATTTTCTGAGAAACAAAGTGGTGCTCACTGGAAGCAGTAGTGAGGACAAAAGTGTATTTTTCCCTATCTCTACGGTTTTGCCAGTGTTTACCACTTCTAATGATTCCGTCTACACCAAGTTTGTGTTAGAGAAACACATGTAAAACAGAATTTAAGCCAATTCTATGCATGTTATTCTTGATGGCGTTCCCAGTTTGCACTGTTTTCAGTGTATCTATGGAAGCCATTGGGGTTGGTGCATAGTGCTGCCTGCAAATTTCAGTAGCATAGATAGAGCATTTGCTTTTAGTTTGGTTTTCTAACGGGGCCAAGTTCATACAGCTGTGTTCTTCTGCATCACCTCTGCCATTTCCCTGGTAGCTTTAAAACCCATCAGCAATTTTCATCTTCATGTGAGGGTAGGCAGAAGTCCCAAAGATAATGTCACTCCTTGCAAATGGCAGCTAGTTAATGGAGAGAAACCCAGTTTATTGTCTCCACTGAAAAAAGGCAGGATTCATCTGCTGCAAAGCTGGCAGCACAGCACAGCTTCCCGTTAGTCACGGTATTTGCTGTCTGGTGCCTAGTGAGGCAATGCCTTTGGGAATTGAGGGAAGAGGAGAAGAGCTAAGATGTGTGGTGGTGGATGGAGTGGGAAAAGGAGACAGAGCATGGAAATCTTTTGGAAAACAGACTTCATTTGTTGATTCTGTGAACCAGCCAGTTGAGCCGATGTGGTAGCAGTGTATTTGAGGTTTTTTCCATCAAGATTTTGCAGATAAAAATCCTGTCATAATGCTGCCTGACTCCCTTGTCCAGTCAAGGCTCCAGTAATCAGCTGCACTTCAACATGTTGCTCCTGTCAAAAGAAATGGGAATTTTTAATGCAAGGAAGGAAGTTGTTACTTGCTGCAAAACGTTAGAAGAGGCAAAGTGGTACTTTTATGTAAGGTACTCTACTACATACCCTTGATCCAACTGTTTTACTCTTGTCTTGCAGTAAAACTACATTTTTGCAGATCCATAGGATTTCATATTGTCTTGTGGACAAATTGACCTTTTTCAGAAGAACAAATGAGGTTACAGCTAAACCAGGTGAACTGATCACGATAGTAGACAAAATTTAAATATGAGTTAATTTACGCATAATTTTCAGAGATAAGTTTTAGGACTGAATTTTATACAATTTTTTTCAGAAAAAAAATAATTAGATTAGTTTCAAATTTCATGGTTTGTTCCTCTGTCCCAAAATGAAAAGTTTGAAATGTGTGTTTTATTTTTTTCTTAATGAAGTGGGGTTTTTTTCGTTTTGTTTCAAAGACAAACGTGGAGACATTTAACCTGAACAATGCATTCCTATAAATTATTTTAAAATAATAATTTAAAATGCATAAAATTAAAATGCTTGAAGAAAGTTTTGCAACCTTTGTTATAGCCAAGGTTAATACTTATAGGAATTCATAGGTTGTTAGTTAATATGTGTAATTGCTATGAAATTAATCTCCTTTAAAATTAATTTAAATGTTTTAAAATAATTAAAATAACAAATCATGTTAGTAGGAACAAATTGTTCTTCTCCGTAAAGTTTTAAAAACACCGATGCTTCTTTTTTGAGAGACAGATTTTAGTAAAAGTGAGAGGAAAGAAATTTTGTAAATGTTATGGTTATGCTTTGATTTTATATTGAAAATTGTGCTGTGGCTTTGTTTAAGATACAAAAATGAGGACTGAAATGACACCAGAAGCAGGGGTGTGAATTCTGCTCTCCAGTTGTCATCACCATATATGCTTTTATTTTTAAAACTTGTTTATCACTACTTCACTAGCCCAGTTAATTTGCTTCATTGCTTTGCAGAGAACTGTTACATTGGGCAGAGGTCCCTAGGCCAAACATCCTACTTCAAGAAATAAAATCCTTTAAAAATGAATGGGTTTATGGTATGGCTTATGCATAATTTTTATTTCAAAAAAAGCATACTCTTACATAAATTCTTTATTAGACAGAGAAGTTGAAGACAGTTAACATCTTTAGTATGTGAATGTTTGTCATTAGAGTAGTAAAATGTGTAGCTAGCATGGGAAAGACCTTGTCATTAATGTACATTTTTACAATAATCCTCAAATTGTAACATACTTCATAAAAATTGCTTGGTGCTAGATAGGATCTTTTGGACATATAAACAGAGTAGAACAGAAAGACCAAGAAAAGTGTGATTGAAATTTAAGAATACAAAAAGGAAATCCTACCATCTAACATTCTAAGATACTCATATTATTTCCACTTATTGTTTTAAAAATGCTATGTTAAAGGCATCTGCAGAAAGGTTTCTTTGATATGCTTATCTCATGTGCCAGCAGCTTCAGGCTTTAAGATAATATTCTTAGTTAGTATGTGTAAGGTGTGCGAAGGTCTAATCTATGTGTGGGGAAATTCATACTGTACTTACAGATAATTTTGAGTTGAGAGCCAAATCCAAAAGGAGCAGAGTCACCTTGATACTCAGAGCTGCAGGACCTCATGGCTGGGTGTTTGGTCTGAGCACGGGATTCACAGGTCTCCGTTAGATACCCAGTCTTCCTCTCTCTAGGTGGAGGGGTTGTAGGCCAAGAATTCTGGAAGACATTTCAGTATTACTTCTGGTTCTTTTGCAAGGTTGCTGACTTAAGAGTTGCTTTTTCTGAGTGCTTCTTGCTCAATCACTGTGAGAATGCCATCCCGTTTTGCCAATGTAATGGGTGTTTATGGTTACATGGTAACATTTTTATGGTTATGTAGTTCCATGTTTCACTTGATTCATTCCAAAGCTATCACAAAGAGTATCTGTTTCTGTTTGTCAGAGGACCAGTGGTGGAGCAGAACAAGTGACTCATTGGGGGGAGAATTTGTTGACACTGCTTAAATAAATGGCTAACCACAGCTTCAGAGAGCACATGCAAGATAAGTCCTCCAAGGGAAGTATGTAGGCAGGTATCTAATTTCTGATCCAATACTAGATTTAGGTTTGAATTAAGGGTAAAATTGCTTGGCCTTTTTAGCTATCTGGACCAAAAGAAACCAACTCAAAACTGAAAAGTTAGCATTTTGTTTTGAGGAGCTTAATCTTAGAATTAGTATCCTGGGTTAAGGACTGAGCTGAATCTCGTGGTGAATTTAGTCCTGAGCATGATGCCTGAGTTCATGACATCTTTGTGAAAGCAGGCGTCTGGATGCAGTGTTTGTGAATTCATGTCCTTCCAAATATTATGATAGGTCCAGGGTTTTGTAAAAGTTGCCTGCATTGTGGAAAAACAAGTAGCAGTCAAAGAACTGTGAACAAAAGAAGGTGCTTCCTTCAGTGTACATAATTGGGATTCATCTCCTTTATATTCTGGCCCATACATTCCTTTTATGTTTTCTCTGTTCCTCTTTTCTCCCAAGCAGCTCTGTCTGTATGGACAGAAATAATTTTTCTCCCCAGCCACCCTTGCTTTTCCTCTGTGTTGGTTTCTACTGTGCTAGAGCTCATTTCAGACACATCAGGCTTCATGCAGTAAGAGTGGTGGTATATTGATGTTTCTTAGTGGCTCTTTGCCTTAACCATCTGACAATGCTATGGACACAATTAAGTGATTACACCTTTTTCACAAGGGTTTAGGTTAGGAGTAGGGGAGAAAGTATGAATATGAAGATAAATAAAATAGCAAGGGAATATATATTAAAACAAATATGTACTTAATTTTTTTAATCACATGTGATTTTTATTTTATCATCTCTAGATAGAATTGCTGCACCTTGTGTGAACTAAGATTTCTGTTATTGTCTTCAGCAGAACCTCCATCAGCAGTCATACCTTATCATCTTGTCCAGCTATGGAGCCCTGTACCTCAGATGAATTTTTTCAGGCTCTCAGCCATGCTGAACAAACTTTTAAAAAAATGGAGAATTATCTTAGACACAAACAGCTATGTGATGTGGTGTTAGTTGCTGGTGATCGTAGAATTCCAGCTCACAGGTAAGTTTACTATAATTTACAAATGCACTTTCAAAGTATGTCCTGTGTTGTGTTTTGGGGTTTTTTTAAGGGTAGAACATCTTGAACAATTTAGAATACTTTAAACTTGCTTGGTTTTTAGCATTTATTTGCAAGCTAAAAGTTAATTTGTCCGTTGTATGCAACACAGAGTCAAAACTAATTGTGGTGTTTTCACGTTCTACTTTTTGTCTTCAAGCGTAGTAAGATATTTGCATAACAAAATAAAAATCCCAAAAGTCACAAATTTGCCCTTAAAATTTTATTAGTAGTGGTTTCTGTACCATAGAATGACAGAAAATTTCTCTTTGATTTAATTTTTTCTTTTGCTAAGAAGTTGTTGGAGTCATAATTAGCAATAAGTCTTCTGTCTGCGTGAAGTTTTTTGCTCCCACAGTGAGAAGAATCTTTTGATAGTAGACTGCTGAACACTGACAGTAAGTGTTAGGGTAATGTTTGATCTAATTTAGCCCTCTATGTGTCATCTGTGTAATTAGCAGATCATACATTATGACACTTAAAAGCTAGGACAATACCAAAAGATTGTGAAAAGAAGGTGTGAATGACCAAAGCATGTTACAGTATTTAATGCACAGTATTAATAGTTCAAATAAGAACCTCGATGTAATTAAGCTGTGGTGTCAAAAAATTAGTTGTACAACACAAATAGTAGCCCAAAGCACTCCTATTTTCTATTTCTCATTCCTACCCCACAGTGAAACTATAGCTTGATACTGTAATAATATTAATATAATAATATAAATTAAAAGGTGGGAAGAAGTTGCTGGCTTGGGTTTGGTATTTTTCTTTAAAAGCCAGATCTGTGCTTTTATTCAGGTACCATCCACATGTTGTGTTGACACAGCAGAAGGAATGATAGCATACAGATTGTAACTGACTTGAGGAGCAGGAAGCCAGTTAAGTCATACCTTACTATTGCTCTCAGAGACTTCACTTCATGAAACTTCATTTTTAAACAGCCATTATCCCTGATTTTTCCAAGTTGATTTACACAAATCTGTCACAAACCTTTATTTAGTCTTATATGAGGGGAGAAGACGGGCAACTCTCCACAAAATCATACTGCAGTTACTACTAAAATGGGTGGTCCTTCTCTCTACCCAAACCCTGACCTGAATTCCTTTGTAAACACAGCCAGTTAGCAGTGGATGGTGATGAATACTTTTTGGAGAGACAATAGGATGAGCAAGAGAATTTGGCTTTCCCTGTGGCTACAGAGTTGCTTAAGATTGATCTTCACTTCATTCAAATTAGTCCCTGTGGAAGGAGCAAATCAGATGAGTACAGGGCATGCACACACCTCTAGTGGATTTGCACCTGCTGAAGTAATTTGGAAGTCAAAGATCTTTGGAGTGCTGTAAACAGGAAAAAAATGTGATTATAAGAAAGGAAATAATTTTCTCCCTTATGTAGCCAAGATATTACCTTTGCAATATACGGTTCCAGAAGATGGTTTATATCATAGTCTAAAAGTATAGAAAGAGTACAGAGAACAGCCGTAACTATCTTGTAAAGATTGGAAGATTTTTATTTATTTTTTTTGCAACAAGGTAAGCACAAAGATAGCATGCTATGAAATTCTTTAATGTGGTTTGAACCTGTTTCTCATATAATTAGAGAACTGACTTTGCTTCTCTAGATTCTGCTACTGTATCTATTTCTGTAGTGCACTAGGCACATGCTACCACCTGTTATTTGTTCTGGTCTTCTCTTCTTAGGAAGAGAAACATCTTACTGTAGCTGGTACATTGTGTTTTAAACATGCATGAAAGTTAAGGCCAAAGAAGCGCACCCTGTCCTTTTAGCAGGAGATGGGAGGCTTATGATTGCCCTTAGTTCACTTTATATTGTGGGAGCAACTTAGAAAGAAGCTTTCCCTTTTGCATAGTAAGTTCTTACTCGTTTTTGTTGGTTTTTTTTTTTGCAACAAGGTAAGCACAAAGTAGCATGCTATGAAATTCTTTAATGTGGTTTGAACCTGTTTCTCATATAATTAGAGAACTGACTTTGCTTCTCTAGATTCTGCTACTGTATCTATTTCTGTAGTGCACTAGGCACATGCTACCACCTGTTATTTGTTCTGGTCTTCTCTTCTTAGGAAGAGAAACATCTTACTGTAGCTGGTACATTGTGTTTTAAACATGCATGAAAGTTAAGGCCAAAGAAGCGCACCCTGTCCTTTTAGCAGGAGATGGGAGGCTTATGATTGCCCTTAGTTCACTTTATATTGTGGGAGCAACTTAGAAAGAAGCTTTCCCTTTTGCATAGTAAGTTCTTACTCGTTTTTGTTGGTTTTTTTTTTTCACAGAGAAACATAGCAATAACTACAGTTTTCATCTCAGTACCTCCGAAGTACCTGACTGTAAACTGAACTTTCCCATAGAGGGAAAGCTAAAGATGTAAATCTTAAATTTAGTTCAGAATTTGGTAGAAATTCAGCAAGAAGAGGGGTTTTATGTACTTGTAGTAGCCTATGTTATAAGAAAAAAATTCTGTAGGATTTTTTACTGTTTGCATCAAAGTTATGACTTATTGTTGCCTGCAAGCTGCAGCAATGAGTGTATTTCAGAACACTAGTCATTATTTTATCTTGAGACTTAAAAAGCAACAAAAGATGCAGTAAATAAGTATTAGCTTAATGGCTTGGCATTCCAAAGTATATAGGAAAATACCAAGTTCACTTAAACTGGACACTTTTTTAAACTTTTTTTTTCTTAACAGAGATAGAAGGGATTTTTGTAATATGTGACTACACAGAATTGCTAAGAACATATTTCATTATTCTTGCTAATCATGCTCATATGACGAGAGAAGATTATTCAGATTTTCTGTTCTGAGCTTTATATTTTTAATAGTTCCTGTATTTTTTCTTATTTCTAAGTTTCTACTTTTGATGATACTTGAATGTTCTGAGGTGTATGATACATGTTTTTAGAGAAAAGAGCAGTGAGTTTGGTGTCTGCAATAGTAATAAGAACAGGTAATACATTACTTCAAAATTATGGTTTGTATTTAGTCAATGAATTCAGGCTATGAGTCTACTACTCGAAGACTATCACGTAGTCATGATTTTTCTCATGTCAGTTTCTATGATTCTAAGACTGTTTATCTTCTGCTGAGCTGAAATTATAGCTAAGAACTTAGGGGATCAGAAAATGAGTCGGAAAGGTAACAGTTCTTCACATGGAAAAAGTGTGTTATAGTCCCACTACCTTAGCCTGCAGCTCCTTACAGAAATTTTGACAAGCTTCTAATTAAATTTAAGTTTTTATATCAGGTGTTTTTTGTGTGTGCACTGCAATTGCAGATGTCTAGGTAATTTCTTACATTCCTATTCATTATGTTCAGGTAACTGCTATATCTTGTAATAAAAGTTTGTTTTGTTTTGTAATAACCTGCTGATCAGAATATTCATAAAAGAAAAGGGATGTCTGTGTAAGTTCCTGGCCAGAAGGGATCTAAAGCCTGCTCTGCATCCTTTCACCAGCAATCTAAATATCTGGGCATATCTTTCTGTGATTATCTTTCTTCCTATTGACATTGAAAGATGGATACAAAAGACATGGGACTGAAGGAAAGAAGGCAAATGGAAGCTTATGTACTTTAGGGGTTAGGAAGCTTGTTTGGTAGAGCACAAAGCCTGGTTTGCAGACATCTTTTATCTTAAGGCTTAATTTATCTTTGTACTTCTTTTCCATATGGCTTAATAATACTTTGACAGTCTGTATTGCTTTTGTTTGTAAATCCTTCACTGCAGCTTTTTTTTGTTTTAGCTACAAAGCATCTTTTTAGAAAGTCAGAGTATATAAAAAAGCAGTTCTGTGATAGCTTTATGTTAAAAAGATACTATCACTACTATCTGTGATTGTTTTGTAAAATTTTACTAAAGGCTTTATTGTAATAATAATTTTAGTGTCAGAAGCAGCAAAAAAATTTTTAAAGGTTTGATTTCCCTGGAAGAGACCTATACTTGGAATAATTTTAACATAAACATACTGCATGTATTTTTAGGTATTCCTTGTTTTTTTCAACAACTTTAATTTAAATAAATACGGATCTATTAATAGTGTGGGACAGCACTACTTTCACGTATTATTTTTGTTACTTACATGTATTATTTATTAAGTGCTTCATACTAGGATGCATGAACTATTCAGTATCACCTTACAACTTTGGTGAATGCTATTAATGAGTCTCCTAGGACTATTTTCAGCTGTCACACAGCTTCACACAAGGACTTGTCTGGGAGTTGTCCCTTTTATGTCTAAGGTAGTAAGAAGCTTCACTTTATTCTGTCAGGTGAACCAGGTTGGGAGACACTAGTCTGTAAATTGCCAGGTTTGACAGCTGTCATCATTTTATGCAGTAATTGCTTTGAAGACCTAGAAAACTGTCTAAATGATGCAGCTTGTGCCAATTCCAACAAAAAGTTAAATTGCATTAAAGCATACTATGCTTACATGTATTTTACTGACTCAGTAGAAGACTCTTCAAAATAAGTTAAGCCGTCACAGTAAATGTTTCTATTTTTGGATCAGTACAAACCACAGAAATTAAAGACATCAGTATCATTGGAACTTCCTGTGAGAACCAGGAGATGTACTGAAACACTCAGATTTTGTCAGTATTTAACTCATAGCTGTAGAGCATTTTTCCACAGAGATTACATGTTCAGACATCTTACAATCTCCCAGATAAAAATTCTGGTATTCATGTATTCCTTTTTCTCCACATTTTTCCTGTGCGCTGGAAAAGAGCAGCCAACCTACTGTATATAATTCAGTAGCCAAATTCTTGTGACTACAAAGAGCAAAGTATTTGGCGGTAGCTGGTAATTAGGTAAGAAGGAGAGCAAAGGTAAATACGTTCAATATCCACAGTTGAACAATACAATGCCAACTTTAGTAAGGTTTTTTCTTGGTGGGTTTCTATTTTTGCACTGCCTCTCTGATGTCAATGTATGCTGATTTGTGGACTAATGATGAAAGCAATATTACTGTTAAGAGAAAAAAAAGGCTACAAACTCAGAATACAAAAACCATAGTTTTCTTCCATTTCTAAACTGAGAAAAGGCTGTATTTTGTAACCTCAGTAGTATCAGTGAACTCCTGATATGGATGAATGTGTTAATTTTAATTATTATAATAAATAACACAGACATTCTCTTTGTTATGTACTAACAGAGCTGTAACAGCTCATACTCACAATCTCCTTGTTAAATAAAGTGTAGTTTTTATAGTCATTTCACAGATTTTCTTTTGAAAAATCATATATTTCATTTAGCTCTTTTAGAACTTCTTTGGAAAAATTATCAAATACAGATGTGAAAAGTCTTCCGTGGATTCTTCGTGAACATATTAGGTGCTTCACGTTGTATAATCTGTATGTTGGAATGCAGTTTAATTTCCAACAATCAAAAAAAAAGGTTGAAAGAAAAATTAGTTGCTAGCTATGAGACTGAAAGATCAATGAACAAGTGGGTGTCAAATGGCATGAGTAAAGTAGTAATTGATTTTAATTGACTACTGGGAAAAACACAGGACAAGGAAAGTCCAATTGGCTGAAGATCTGCCTGTATTTTGTTTTATGCTAATTCAGTGTCACCTTGATGCATTGTCACTGTATCTTGTAATCCCCTTTTTTTGAAAGAATGTTTGGTTTTTGTAATTTATTTGAATTAAAAGTGTGAATACCTGTTCTAAGGCTTTTCATTGTGAACATACTTCTTAGCTAAAATTATTATAAAACTGTTACCAGTATAATTTATGCTTTGGTATATTACTTGTATTAATCTACTCCTGGGCTACACATTCTGTTTCGGCATCTGCAGGTCACTCTCTGGAAAGCACTTAATGCTGTGAAACATGCATACCTTCTCATGAATCTGAACAGAAGTTTGCATAAATAGTAAATGGATTGTATTTTAAATTTCTAATAGTTTATTTTGGAGCACTTTTAGACTGGAAATTACAGGGAGAAATTTGCTGTTATCAAACAGCTGGTATAAGGTATTTGTCTGGAGCCTCAGGATAATACTTAGCATTTTTTCAGCAGCTTTCAGTAAGATATGTATAGTCCAACCATTTTCTAAATGATAGTGCTGCTAGCTAAACCATTTGCATTGCTGAGGGAAGAAAAAAAGAAAATAAAAACAACCCCCAAACCATGTTAAGGTTGTGTTTTAGGTTCTGTTTCCTATCACAGAGACCTTTCTTTTTCAGGCTGTATTCCGTGGAGAAGTTCAAGTCAGTATTGCCAGAGTTGAATATTTCAAGTTGCTTGTTTTGCTTTGTTACTTTTAATTCTGAATTGGACCTGTGGAGATACTTGTTATTCATATCTGTCCACCAGAACTCCTTACCTTCTAATTAGAACCCCTAGTTTGGACACACAGATCTGATCTTGTCACCTCATTCTAGCATCAGAACTAGTTGCAGAAACACTCTCTCAATGCTTACATGAATATATTTTCTAATTTCACTAAAATTCTTCAGAACTTTAGCAGGCAGTATTTTTATTCAATTGCAGATGTTACTAAACCTGATGTCAAAATGATGCCTGGGTGCTGCCTTAGCAGAATGTTCTAATTTTTCTTAGCAAGTCAACCACAGAATAAACCTCATATTTCAAGAGCAATATTTTCTTTTAAAAAACAAACAAAAAAATCCAACCAACCAAAAAAAAACCACTTCATTTTTCATTACAAAACTTCACCTGAAACATACAAGTTGTTATATTAATCTTCTCTTAAGACTCTTAAACCAAGTCTGTTGCCTCAGAAACTGAAAGAAAAAATATTACCCTACTGTCAGTCTGGCAGGCCTATGGTCAGAAAAAAAGCGAGAAGAATATAGTTTAAGTTAGCAATTTATTATTTTGCAGTTAATTAAGAGACAATTCTTTGTAGTTCATGACTTTGTGTATTTATCTGCAAATCCTCCCCATTATATCCCCAATATGTTTAGATTTACTCCTGACCAGTGGTGTTCACCTTTTCAATTGATTTTACTCTGTTTTGTGGTTCCTAGACTCTGCCATCTCAACAAGCCAATATCATGATTCAGCACAGAATAAACTGGCGTTCTGTGAAGTGTTAGATTCCTTGAATGTATATAGAAGGACTGTGTATTTGCAATGGGCTTGATTCTTGGACTTGCTGTTTGTATAGCTCAGTACATAGGCAGGTGTATATTTTAATTCCCTCTGAGCAAGGCAACAGTGAACTGCTGCATCATAAAAACTGATCCAAACCACAAGGCTGTTCCTGGAGGTCTCTTAGGGAAGAGATAGCAGATCTCATGAATAGTTATGGTAGGTTTCATATTACAGAGCTATGGGTTGAATATTCCTGCTCCACATTATTTCCTTTCTCTTTCACCCTAATCCTGTGAACACATACTGAGACATCAAAATTCTTGCACATTTTGTGAAGTGCCATTGTTATATGCACTCAGTTTTACCCCAAGTAATCCCAAGAAATGTCTGTAGTGCTCTGACATACTTCCTCAGTATCTTAAAATACTCAGAATTGTTTACAAAAGGTTAAATACACATCCATAAATTATCACCCTGTGCCACCTCCATATTTATTGTGCCTAGTTCTGTTATCAGTGTTAGTAAATTAATGCAAATGTGTGCCCCAAGAGTAAAAGCAAATTAAAGCACTTTGAAAAAGGCTCGTAAGTAATTACTTCATGTTTAAAAAAGAAACACACATAAATCATAGAATCATAGAATCTTAGGGGCTGGAAGGGACCTCGAGAAATCAATTTTCTTTTTTTACATACTGTATATTTATATTCCATTGCAAATTCATTTGTTCTTTGCAGGTTGTTTCTGTGCTGGCTATTAAAAGTCATTGAGCTTTGAAAAGGTAGTTAATTTACTTGAGTAGTAAATGCAGATTCAGTAATAGTGCTGCACTGTTCATCAAGAGGAACTAGAGCATGGAGTAGTTTGTCAATTTCAAAATACTTTTCTCAGTAGTGTTTCTTCAAAGGGGAAAGTAATGAATCATAAATCAACAGACATCAGATTGATATAAGTTTTTTTTCTTTTCCTCTTTGTCTCTCTCCTTTTCTCCTGTACGATGTACTCAGATTGGTTCTCTCCTCTGTTTCGGACTACTTTGCAGCAATGTTCACTAATGATGTAAGGGAAGCAAGACAGGAGGAAATCAAGATGGAAGGCGTGGAGCCAAATGCATTGTGGGCTCTGGTTCAATATGCATATACAGGTAAAGAGAATGAAAATAGGAATTTTATCTAATGAATTGTCTTCCTGTGAGCATTATATTACATTACTAGATTTCAAATGATCTTTAGAAATTATTATTTGCATTATTAATTCATTATAAATAAATAAATAAAAATCATTATTGCCATTACCTTAGGCAGCCTGGTATGATATAGTTTCTTTGATAATACTATATCCAGTTAGTTAACAAATCGGGTGAGTATTTTTAATGTATCATGACTGACCAAAAAAAAAAAAAAAAGGACTTTTCTAGAATTCCCTTTCCTTAGTTCATTACTGGTACTGATTTTTGAAAAACTGTCTATCTATTGCTGAGGCTGATGTTTGCTGAGCTTTATATTCTGCCATATAATCTGTAAATAATTCTGTTTTCTCTGAGTTTTTAGGGAATTCAACAGATTATAAGGGCAAACTCATGTGATCTTTTTAATGTTACTAGGTCGCCTTGAATTAAAAGAAGATAACATTGAGTGCCTGTTGTCTACAGCTTGTCTTCTTCAGCTCTCTCAGGTTGTAGAAGCCTGCTGTAAATTCCTAATGAAGCAGCTTCACCCCTCCAATTGCCTTGGAATCCGATCTTTCGCTGATGCGCAGGGTTGCACTGACTTGCACAAGGTGGCTCACAATTACACTATGGTATGCTGTTACTTTAAGTATCATTCACTTTATTTAGTGAAGAAAATACAGGTGGTTTCCTGAATAAAATGCTGATGTTTTTCCCCCAGAAAGCCTTGATCATCTTTCTGACAAGAATGCACGTGTGTTCCCGTTATGAGAAATGGCAAAATAAAGTTGCTGGTTTAGGGTTGGAAGGAAATAGGCAAGCATTAATGGTTCCCTGTAACAGTAATGGGGTTGTGTAATTCACATTTTATAAAATAACTCAAAAGTTTGTTCTTACTTCTGCCAGTCAAACTTAACAGTGGGCAAGCTGCCACAATCGAGTCCAAAGTAGCCCATTATTAAACAAAAATGTAGAATTCTTGTTTTACAATGAGCTGGAGTAATCGGCTTCTAAGTTATACTTGGGGTATGAATGTGGGCATTTCTTAGTAATAAGATGTCAGGATAGCATCAAACAATTAAATCTTCAACTAGACAACATGTGACTAAATACAAATTTGCTAATTATATTTTCAAAGTTAATTTATAGAAAGACTGACCTGCCACCTTAATTAAACTTCCTTAATGGTCATCCTTTTCTTTTAGTATAAAGTGTTTTTCTTTTCCTTCTCACAAGCATACTGTAGTAATGTTACCAGCAGAAGAAAGAAGGAGAATTATCTCTAAGGCAAGGCAGGTTATCTGTTCTTTGCAGTTTTGAGAGGTGTTTTTCTCTCTTGGTGAAATTTTACTCTTGGAACCTGAATTAGGGACCTTGTAAGCTCCTGGGACCTAAATGAGGGCATGTGGATACTGCGTAAGAGATGTGGGAATGAAGATAATACTTAATTTGCTTGTGTGGCGTGTCACTGCATTGCCATTAAGATATTGGCTTAGATCCAAGAGGTGTAATTTCTGTCCTGTAAATAGTATTAGATCCATGGCTTTTCCTCTTGCCACCTTAGTTTTTGCTGGTTTAAAAATTATTTTTATTAAAATTATTTCTTCTTGATGTAAAATAACTTAGCTCTTTTTTTGTATGATACCATGTTCTTCCTCAGTGAGTGAATCTCTGTTGTATTTAAATCATGTACACACTGAAATTTACCAAAACAGGTCAAGAAAATAGTGTGCAGATTGTAGCTTATATGTTTCTATTCTTGATCTTCATTATTGCTCAAACAAAAATGAAACTGCAATAAGGTAGACAGATGAAACAGTAACAATAAATGTAGCTTATTCCTTTGAGGAATATTAGAGTTAATGTTAAAGAAGACAGCAATACAAAAAGCAAGCAAAAAGACAACCTCCCTGTTCTGACCTATTTGTTCTTTTTCAGAATAAGTGTATATTGGTGTGTGGTATTGTGGCATGTCCCTTGTAAGTAGACTGCCAAGATCAGAACAGGAATAAGATTAAGGCATCTTTAAAGATGAATGTTAGGGATTATAGTCTTACTATTTTGACCGGCAGTTCATGACTTATGTCAGAAAGAGACTGTGAACTTTCTAAAAGCCATTCTTTTACAGCACCTACCTTTTCTTGTTCAGACCACAGGAAAAATAGTTGTGTGCCTTTTGGCCATTGTTTATTTCAGTGGCAAAATTGTTGCTTTTAAGGCTCCGATATGGATGAAATTTAAATTAGGTGGATTTTAAAAAGCTATTTTGAAAACTAATTAGTTGTGCTAGATGGATTCTTCCGAATGCCTCTTTTAATGTTGTTTAGTTCCAACAGAGACATGAAATTGAATTTTAGTAATAATGAGTAATAGAGAAGTACCTTCTTTAGTTTGAAATAAATGTTGCTATGGAAACTGCATAGAAATGTATAGTCCATTTGAATCTTCAATTAAAATAAATCCCCAAGTAATTTAATATGCTTAAAAGCAGTTTGAAAATAGAAAGTGTTCAACAGTAGCAAGTACTAGCCACTTGATGCTCTTTCCATTAAGAAGTATTAGAGCACAAGGGTTAAGCACACCTGTAGTATCTGGAAATTCTGTTTGTTAAAACAATAAATTATATTTATGCTGCCATGGGCAGCAGAGAACAAAGGGGTATTCCACTGAGTATAGTTTACACTTCTGGTGTTTCCATGTAATTTTGGTTCTTCTAAAGCACTTGAAGTAGAAGATAATAATATAATCTACTTGAATCTTATTCTATGGAAGTTATTTTCTATTAATTTTTCTTTTCCTTTGGCAGAAAAAAATCAGATTGCTGTGTAACTGTTTTTCTGCAATTGAAACAACTCAGTTTTAAAGATTTTTGTGATACGTGCTATAATTTGATAAACAACTTACCTGCTTCACTAAAATAGGTTTTTACATGAAGACTAGAAATTCAGGTGAAATGAGCATTTGGTTAAACTGAATGACCAATAAATGAGTTATCCCGGTAGGCCTAACTCTGGTAATAGGCCTGCTCTGTCTGATAATGTTCACCCCTGTCATTGGAAACCATTAGCTCCATTTTATGGCATGATTTGAATTGCATAATACAATGCAATAAAAAAAAAAAAGAAGGCTTTGAATGCTACACTTCGTATTCAAGATGTAAATGTATGTTAGGCTAAAAGGACTTAAGTGTTGAGTTACTTCACTGCTTACTGTGTTGACAGTTGGTAAGTTGTTTTTTTCAGAGAAGAATAATTTTTAGGGTTATCATCAAAACAAATACATTTTTGACATTGCAAACTAAAGCTTGAAAAATCTTCAGGATGTGTTAAATGAAACATGAAATAAACTGATTAGTAGTGGATTTAATGCTGTATAAAGAGCAACTCTGATTTTTATGCATCAGTGTTCTAAAATACTGCCTTGGAGATGTATCTGGGTAAAGGTGTTTTTTGTACAAAGGTTATCCTGTTTTGCTGTAGTTTATAAATTTACTAATTTTATTAGGCTGGTCAGTGGTGTATCTGTTCACTTAAATTCATTCCTTTTTGCAGAAAATGCCTTCTATGCATTTTTCTTGCTGTCTTCACAAAGTCAAAAGAAACACCCCTTTTGTCATCTTGTTTGTTTGAAACGGTTGGTAGTGTACCTTGAATGAAAACTAATAGCTCCTGTTCTACAAAAAATAAAAAAGTAAAGCAAAGGGAAGTTACTACTTTCAGAGGAAAAGTTAGTTTTTGTTATTTCCAGAACATTAAAGATCTATGGTGAGTAGCAAGGTGTTCTTATGCAAGTGTCAATAGCTTTTTCAATGGCCAATTTTAACTTTGTTAATTACAACCAAAAAAGAGAAAGCAGACATTCTAAGTAGTATATGTGATAGTGCCTGAGTCAGTCCCTGTGTACATAGCTTGGTAAATCTTTGTTGCTCAGCTTTCCATGCTTAAAGCAGAGTGAAAAGCTATTTTGATTGTCATAAAAAGTCTTCAGAAGTATGTGAGCAGTGATGTTTCAAGAATCAGATAAAGTTATTTTGGAGTTGCCATGATTTCTGAACACAGCCAATGGATGTTTATAAGAAGAAAAACTTAGAGAAGATAGAATAACAGACCGAGGGCAAGCTAGAAATTTTGCAGAATACATGTGTGATGTTTAACTTGCTTTCTTCTGTAAGGCAGGAGATGAGTAACAAAAAATCAGTGCAATATGGAGTTTATTATTTGGAAGGTGGAATCTGAGTTGTAATTTGTCGTTTTTCTTGCAACAGCTAGGACATCTTGTTCCTTTGGCAGGGAGATGCATGAATAGGAGGGAACTGACAGTATTTTTTTGTCCAAAAGAGGCCAGACACTAAGATTGTGTTGGTGCCTAAAGCAAGGATTTTATAGTCTTGCACCTGAATTTGTAGTGCAAAATATCCTGCTCAGTAATCATCTGACTTGGAAAGTACTCAATCACTTATTTTTACTTATGAAAACCCAAGATACTTCTGTCATTCAAGTTCCCTAACTTTTTCCTTGCACAATAGATTGGTATCACCTTGGTGAGACTGAATAGGTTTCTATATGCTGCCCAGCCTGTTTTGGAATCCAGAAGCTGTTCAGTGAGGAGTCAAATTACAACAGTTGTACTCTAAACAAATTCTGGGCACACTGAAGCATTACACTGGTTCATCAATTAATGCAGCAGTCCAAGCAGACTAGAAATAAAGAAGATGCATTCTGACATCTGTCTATTTGTAGTTTACAAGGAAGTAAGGTTCACTCAGTTCTTAGTGGATTTATACCTCTGTTGACCAGCTCACTAAAGCAGCCAGTAGAAAAAAATTACATGCCCTGTTTGTTCTCATTCAGATCCTCTGAGTCAAGCACCTCTCGCTTCTTGGCTGCCCAGGTTCAGAGTTTAAACTGTGATTAACAAGCTGTCTCTCTGGCCAACTCAAGAGTACTATCCTTCTCAGCCTGCAGGTGTTCTGATGCTCTTCTGACACAGTATAGAGGGAGATGAACCATCTCGCTGGATCCCACTATGGGGATTAAATACCACTTGGAAATAAGTATCATGACACATGATCTTTTATGTGCTCCTAATATTTTTTGCTCTGTATCAAGACCAAGGCAGAGATGTGGTTAAGAATATGAGTAGTATTCTCTTGTGTTGCTGAAGGGTGAATATAAGGTTACGATGTGAGTGAGCAATGCACAGCATTGAGCATAGGGACTGCAATGCCCTTGTTTTAGCTAACACACAAACCTCAGGCTTCTCATTTGATAAATTTTCCAAGCTTTTTGAGGAGCTAATTTTGGGGGTGGGAAACATTTTTTACTTTAAGAACCAGAAAGCAGGAGACTGAAACTGCAGACCATTTGTTCTCTGAAATATCCTGTTCTTCCACAGAGAGTTCCCACAAGAAGAAGGAAAGAAAAGGCTAATGAGGAGTTTAAGAATGCTAGGAGATACACTGGCTCCTTCTTTTTGTCTTCAGAATCTCTGTCTGTAGAGGAAGAGGAACTGTCAGATTCTGATTATAAAAAACCCCAGACATAGGCCAAAGAGTGGCTGTATTCCCAGTGGAATGCTTTGATACTGTGCTCAAAAGAAGTCTCTGCTTTAAAAATAGAATGGGAGCAAGAGGAAGTTGAACTTGTTCCCATCAGAAAGTAATTGTCTGCAAGCAACAAGAAGGAAAATCAGGCTTTTAAAACACAACAGCAGTTGAAGTGATGAAATGCAGTTGGAAAAAAACTTTCCACAGAGGATCCCTGACTGACTTACACAAGATCAGCTTGTTGCCTTCAGAGACAAAGGAAACTTTCTATGCAGGTGCTTTCCCCTTCCTCCTCCTGTGATCCACATAGACAATATGGAAGGTTTAAGGTAGTAAGTGTTGGATTTTCTCTTTGTCATTGCTCACTGCCTGTTTATTCAGCAAAGCTAAAAACACAGCTCCAGCTTACACACTCTCTAGGACAGAGAATCAACAAAAAAACAGCAGTGGAAAAAATTGACTCAGTGGAACCTGAATTTCTGTGAACTGCATATTTAAACTCTGGAAGTAATTTTGATTGTTTTCAGCTTTTAAGTTTTACTCCCAAGCATTAGATATTAGAGCAAAATAAATAACACTGCATGTGTTGTACTACAGAATATTGGTACAGTCTTTTTATTGTTTTAGTTCTTGTATTTGCTCATTTCCTTAACTTTCATCCTGTAATACAGAATTAAACCAATTAAAGAGGAAAACACAGTTCTATCTCCCTTCTAATGTGCTACAGTTTACACTTGGAAGCATGGCTTTTGTGTAGTCAATTGGATCTCTCTCATAGGAAAGCTTTTCAGATATTAAATGTAACATTTTCCTTTCCAAATTCTATCCAGGAATGCAGCTACGTGCACAGATAACATTTTTCAATTCTTTTTCTAATTTCAACATCAGAGTTTCCTGTGGAGAGGAACCACTTCGATCTTTTCCCTTAGACATCTGGTAGCTATCTTACATATGTGTGGCTTTCCTGTAAGGTGGACTGGTTTACTCCTTATTATTTTTTTCCTCTTTGCTCAACATTCTTTAATTAGTTAATATTTTTGGAGTACTGAGGTGCAGTTTGAAAGGATTAGACTAAGCAATAAAAAGGAGGAAGTGTTACATTTTTTGCTTTGTTGTCATGATGTCCTTTGCATATATAATGCCAAACTGTACTGTATGTTTTTGTTGCCATTTATTATGCAAAATTTGTGCTTGTTTTGAAGTGCAGGTCCTACTGCTGCTCCCAAGTTTCTCTCCGTTTTTTTGACCTAGAAATCCTATTTTTTTTTTTCCAACATGTGTGCTTCTAATCTAGAGTTTTTTCCATTAGCATGCAGTTCTTCTGAAATCATGACACAAGGTGCTAAGTAAGTCTAATATTGATAGTAAGCCCAGTTACCTTTCCCTATTTGTGGACCTAATGCACTTTATCGTCCAAGTGTTTTGGAGTTACATGTGATGGCGGAGCAAAACCAGCATCCTGTAGGCTAGCTATCTAGCAATCAACAGTGCAATTAGTAAATTGATTGTAATACTATGTTCTCACCAGGAAGTTACTCTCAGTTTGGAGTATGAGGCTAGCTGGGTTTTGAGCTAACAAAATACAAGAACATGTTGTGATCACAGACTGCTTTTACTTTGTTGCCTTGTAAAAGGTGTATGGGGAAGGAGGATAGACTTGATCTCACCCTCTTCTATTGCATTCAGATTTCTCACTGTAAGATCATAATGCTGATTGTATTTCTACATGCTTTTCTGCTATTTCTGCCTAAGTTCATGAGAATCCTTACAGAATATTCTGCAAGTTCTAGTATTATGAATTAATAAGATATCAATGTTGGAAATGTTACATATTGTGACTTTCCTATTTCAAAGTCAAGATTTATTGCTGGAAATGACAGGATGAAAGTTAGAAAATTGAGTCCTATTAAAGTAAATATTGTTAATAAAGCAAAGCATGTACAGTATTGTGGATTCTTTGTATCTTTTGTTCCCCAGTCAATCAGATCAGCTGTATAAAACTTAGAAAATAGCAAAATAAACACTATATGATCCATTTAAAATAAACAATAAAATTGTTAGTATTGTTTATTTCCTTTGAAATCTTACTGCTGTAGTTTAATCTAGCAGTAATGACAACAGTTAGATGTGCCCAGTAACTGTGGAATGTTGTGCTATTTGCTTCACAGAGCATCTTATGTTGTATTCTGTACTGTCAATGGGAACAAACTGCGCCTTTTATGTTTTTTAAACTAGACTTCAGAAAGTATTTCTTCAATTTGCAGAACCAAGATAGTATCTGCCACAACCCATTGCTTGTTTCTGTCCATACACTTCCCCCATAGTTGTATCAACACATCTGTCTGTGGGACTGAAAGAGAGATTTGGGGAAATGATGTGATGTCAAAATAACTCAATACATTTTTGTTTTACTTCTTTTTGCCTCCCAGGTCAGTTCTCCAGTGGTACGTACTGGCACAACTGAGAGATGGCGTGAAGGGAGGGAAAAGAGGGGAAGATACAGTAGGAGTTCCATGAAATGTCTTCAAAGTATGATGTTACCTGTATTAAAAATAATTTTCTTTTTCAGGAAAACTTCATGGAAGTAATTAGAAACCAGGAATTTCTGTTGTTGCCAGCCACTGAAATTGCAAAGCTTTTAGCAAGTGATGACATGAATATTCCTAATGAAGAAACTATACTGAATGCACTACTTACATGGGTTCGACATGACTTGGAACAGAGAAGGAAAGACCTCAGTAAACTCCTGGCTTACATTAGACTGCCTCTTCTTGCTCCACAAGTAAAATTTTCAGTTCCTTTCTAGTTTATACCATGCTTACAATGGGCTTCATGTCTACAGCACTATTTCCTAGAAAATTGTTTATCAAGGACATGTTTGCCACTAGAAGGTGTGTCCTTTTTAAATGTCTTCTTTATGGAACTTACACAGTTTATTTGGATCATTACATTTCCTTCATATAATTATAGCTACCCTTGAGATTTAAGAAATACAATTTGAATCAATTATGTAGAGTGATTTATCTTCTATTAACTCTTGATAAACCATCTTTGGTAATTTTTTTTTTCCAATCAATCCTTTTTCTCCTTCTTGGACATCTACCTGCCATGCTAAGGAAAACTTGAGCTCAGATTGTTTAAATAGTTGTGAATGATGGTTTTTCCATTCCTGTAGGAATGACTTTTCATGTTAATGTCATGTGTAGCATTGTACTCATCTCATAGCATACAGAATCACAGAACCATTAAAGTTGGAAGGGACTTCCAGTCCAGCTCTCCCACTAAAGCGGGATCCCCTAGAGCACATCACTCAGGTCTGCATCCAGACAGGTCTTGAATATCTCCAAAGAAGGGGACTCCACAACTTCCCTGGGTAGCCTGTTTCAGTGCTTTGTCACCCCCACACTAAATAAGTTTTTCCTCATGTCTAGATGGAACTTCCTATGTTGCAGCTTGTGCCCACTGCCTCTTGTCCTGTCACAGGGCACTACTGAAAAGAGTCTGGCTCCATCCTCCTTACACCCACTATTTATATATTTACAGACATTGATAAGGTTGTGGCCTTGACTTTGTAATTTTTCTAGAAACATAATAAAGTGTAAGCCAACTGACCTGGAGGAAATAGTTCTTTTGTTGAGCATTTAATTAGTTGATAACTAAGTAGCCACTGCTGTATTCCTTTTACTTAATTGAATGCAACTGGAACATCTTTAGAAACAGAAAATACATAATTGATCCCAGAGATATGTGCTGAAATAAAATTGTCCACTCTAACTGATTAGGAAAATGGGAGAATGAAACACAAAAGCAGTATCATCTCTCACTTACTATTTTATCTTTAATTTTTCCTGTCTTCTACAAATATACACTTATATTACTAACACAATGTTTTTCTATTGCCTTTTTATTATTAATCTAGCAAATTAAAATGTTAAAGAGGGGATTTGAATATGGCAACAATTAGTACATTGAGTAATTGGTTTGAAGTGCCCAAAACAGTCTTAACATTTTAAGAATCATGTTTTGCTATATAATCACACTACATTAGGCCACTTACAGGAAACATAATATAATGAAAAGGTTTCTAATTTTATGGTTGAAGGGTTAAAGCTATTTGAAATAAATTAAACTAGAAAACTGAACAACTTGCTGAAATCAAGAACATTGCAAGCAGAGATGCAAAGATTAGATTCAGACTTGAAAAAAAAATTGGGAAATACCGTGAAACTGTACCATTGGAAGCAAAAAAAATTGTTATGAATTGTCAGTTTTATTAGTTCTGGTTTTATGCATCTCTTTGGACATAGCATTCTGTCATCTCTTTGGTTAATGCAAGGAGTGTCCTAAATATTTGTAAGTCACTTTTTGTTCTTAAAAAGGCTGAAGATAATATTTGTCAGCCTCTTAAGCTGTAAGGTAGCAAGTATTCTAACTGATAAATAATGAAAAATATTATTAAGCAATTACAGAGTTACAAGATGGTTCCGCTTCCTTTTTGACAGAAATCCTTATTACTTAAGTATCTGAACTTTCTTTCTCTAAAGCAACTGCACTATCTTTATCTTCATCAGGTTTCCAATTACTGTATTTTCATGCTAACACACAGTTTATAGCTGCATTACAAATGCTTTTAGTACAAGAGGCTTGGAAAAAAATTACTTTCATTTAAGTAAACCCATTCCAAGTTACTTGAGTGAAGAATATTTACCAAAAAAATTGTAGTACAGTAGATTTAGTTTCAGGAGCCAGTAGGTTCTTTGGGGTACCAAAGCAATCTTAGATTGCATTTCTTTTTACCAGAAATGAAGCTGCTTTGAGAGATTGAGACTCCATTCTATAAGAACTTCTTTACAGGTTGAGGAGTGTTAGAAACTGGAGAAAATATAGGTGGAATCCTGCTGTTGAAGTACTCATATATACACACATAAGAGTTGCTGTAAATATTAAATTCTGCTTGTCTGTTGTGTACAAGCCTTAATTTTAATGTATGCAACTACGACAATGTCCAATTTAGGACAGTAATAATTAATAGATATTTTTTTCTTTAACTGTGCAATTTTATAGTATTGCATGCTGGCAATTAAAAGACAGCTTTCAGTTTACTGTTTTGTAATCACAAAGTGTCCCTGTCAAGTGATATATGTGGTAAGTGGTGCTTTGGCTCAAGAGAAGAAACAATGGGATGTGCTGAAAATAAAGAATAAAAAGTTAGTTCCTCTGCTAATTTACATGAGAACATTTTAATCTGCTTTTTAAAATAGAATCAGAACATCAGTCAGTTAGAGAAATACTGCAAAAGTCAGGCTGAGTTTTCTGAAAATTTGCTAGGGAAGGTCTTTGAAATGGTGGTGGTGGTGGCTTTTTTTTTTGTTGCTGTTGGTTTTGTTTGTTTGTTTGTTGTTGTTTTAAAATTATGTTTTCTGTCGTAGTTTCTGTTGATTTCTCTGATAGAGAGATGTTCAGGTTTAGCAGCCTGTACTTACCTGTATCTCTTCTGGACCCATGGATGTCATACTTGCCACTTTGCAGCCCTAAGGCTGCTTTAAGCCAGGGATATGCACACTGTATTATGCACAACTATTTCATAAAGCATCCCATTAGTACTCTGGATTACTAATTTCACAGCAATTTTATACTTGTTATTGGTTGGCTCTTAACATCTCAACAACGTCTCATCCTGGTTTGTGAACGCACATTTCTGATATTCACAACGTGTGCAGATTTTGTGATGACAGTTCAGAGACATTTGCCTTTTTCTTATTGTTCTGGCAACTGTCCAAGTCCCAGTGGGGCACTTCACTTGCTTTTTTCTGTTACTCAGGCTTTGTGTTGCAGCTCAAAAACATGCCAGTTGTCTACACTTCTAATAATTACAGTTGGGACACTCAACCTACTCATATATTTTTTCTGCAGTCTGACCAACATGAAGTGCAAAAGACTTTAAGAGTTTAAAGACCAGGGTCTTTCAACTTTAAAAAATTATTAGTAGTCTTTATTTGATTTTATTTAAGCCACATTTAAAATTTTACACTTGTGAAATTTGCTTGCATCCTTGATATTAAAATTTTTAGCAAAGGTTTGTATTAATTTATATACTGTGATTTGGGTCACTGTCAGAGTGAGGAATAGAACAGATATTTAAATATTCAGCCTGTGACTGAAGCAGCTTTTACAGAGCTCTTGATTAGATGGATTTGGGAGTTAAAAGTGTGATGTTAAACTGACTGACATACTCAGAGCCTGATTCCATTTCCTTGAAGAAACTTGTAGGGGCACTGGAATCTTAGGAGATTTTGTTTTCTTCCTTTGGACCATTAAACTTAAATCATCCATTAGGAATTAAGATCAGATGGCCTTTTCTTTTTTCTTTGTTTGTTTTTTTTTTAATGGCTTAAAATGTAAATGTTTTGTTTATTACAAGTTTATCTTTACTGTAGTCTTTTTTCATATCTTTTTAGGTATCTATTTTATATATGATATTAAATCGGGGCAGTAAAAGCCTTCAGATAAAATGTTATCTTGTACTCTTATCTTTATTCTTCATGTGATTTATGGCAATGCAGCTTGTTTAATTTTCTTTTTCACAGTTTCTGGCAGATATGGAAAATAATGCACTCTTCAGGGATGACATTGAATGTCAAAAACTCATTATGGAAGCAATGAAGTACCATCTGTTGCCAGAGAGACGACCTATGTTGCAAAGTCCTCGCACCAAACCTAGAAAATCTACAGTGGGTGTATTGTTTGCTGTTGGAGGAATGGATGCAACAAAAGGTATTTGCTTATATAATGATTACTGGCTGAACGGTTTTGGTTCTTTTAAAAAGAATGTTTGATCGATGTTTGTACAACACGTTAATTCTAAAATTCAAATATTCTGCAGCACAGAACATGAAACATCTTTAATGTACATGGTTTCTTAGGGTTAAAAAGCCTATGAACCTTTGATAATATTGTAAACATTCAGGAAACTGGAGTTATGATTGATTTGAAGTTATCAAGAGACTATCTGTTTTTTGAGTAGTGAAATACTGAATTAAGTGAAAACTAATCTTTATTTACTTGAATGGGAAGTAATTTGGAAAAGGAAGAAATTACAGAAAGGACCTGCACATGCATTTAAAAAAAAAAAAAAAAAAAAGCTTTTTCACTGGTGAACAGTTCAATCAGAGCTACTTGGACTTTCTTTTTTTATAGACACTTCCATGCTGTTCCATGGTGCTTAGCAGGAATCTGGCAAGTTAGAAAAATTATGGCAGAGTGTTTCTTTCACTTGCTTGAAAGTTAGCACTTTTAGTACTTCATGTCACATAGCTTCAGACTTTTTTCTAATATTGCAAAACAGTAAACTTCAATATATACTTGCATTTCACATGGGTTGTTTTATATTCCTAACATTTGTATTTCTAAAACTTGATTCTGCAAAGCAGTTAGGAATCATGCTTTTTGTCTTGAAAAGCACTGAGAAAATCCTCCTTCAAATGATGCAGTTAATTACTGAGGAAGTAAAAAAAGAGTATTTGTATAAATAGGATTAAGAGCATGCTGCAGGATGTCATGCTGTCTTGTGTGATCAGCATATTGCCAAAATACAAACTATCCTCATAATTCAGATTTTTTTTCTTTTTTAACTTGCATATATTGTCATTCAGGAGCTACGAGTATTGAAAAGTATGAACTTCGTACCAACATGTGGACTCCTGTTGCAAACATGAATGGACGAAGATTACAGTTTGGAGTTGCAGTTTTAGATGATAAATTGTATGTTGTTGGTGGCAGAGATGGACTGAAAACATTGAATACTGTTGAGTGTTACAACCCTAGAACAAAAACCTGGAGTGTAATGCCACCTATGTCCACTCATCGTCATGGTCTTGGTATGTAGAGTTCTGTAAAGGCTAAATGCATCATTTTAAAAGGCTACCTGGTTTAGGATTGGTCAAAAACATTTGAAAATTAAGTTTAGGGGTGTGAAAACTTTGTTTTAATACCAACTTCTTACTGAATGTTTTTTCTGCTTCAGATTATATCCAGCATTGCCTCCCAAGAGAAAATTTCTTTTTGCTTGTTTTCAAGTATTTTGTGCTGCACACTAGACTGTCACTAGGAAAATGTTTGGGTTTTTTTCCCCTTATCCAGAAATGATTTGTTTTCATACCTGTTTTTTTAGGAGTAGCTGTATTGGAAGGTCCCATGTATGCAGTAGGAGGACATGATGGCTGGAGCTACCTGAATACAGTAGAAAGATGGGATCCACAGGCTCGTCAGTGGAACTTTGTAGCTAGTATGTCAACTCCAAGGAGCACTGTTGGTGTAGCAATATTAAATGGAAAGTATGTGAAGGCAACTTCCGTTTTCTATCTAATTATTTTAAAGTAATTACAGGACCATCCTAAATGACTATTAATAATTTATCTTGATAGATACCTGTTGATAGCATTAAGAACCAAATTTCTTCACAGAAAAGATTTTGTGTTGAGTCAAGCAAGCTTCCCCATAGCATCACAGTGCCTCTCAGTATCACTTAAGAGACATAATCTCTATGGCCCAACAAGTACTTACTACCTCCTTAATACAAGAAGGAACTAATGGTTGTTTCCTTTCACGTAGACTCCGGTGATTTCCTCTTACTGTGATGGTTTAAATTATCAGCTTCCAGAATTACTATAAAGCCATGGAGGAGTACTCATATTACATTAACTCAGAACAGTAAGCTCTGTCAAAATGAATCAAATCTGGAGTGGTATCTGAAATTTCTACAGCTGTTTTTCAGTGAAAATATACCTAATTCCTAATACAAAGCATATTCAGACAACTAGATCATTTTATGTTGCAGTCACAGAAAATGGCTTGAAGTGGCCTCAAGGAGTTCCCTAATCCATTTTCCTAGCCCAAAGCTGAATCAATTCTATCTAAAACATTCATAGCCAGACTGATCTTGTTCTTAACCTCCAGTGGTAAAGCTTCCATAACTTTCCTAAGTTGTCTGCTTAACTACTAATACATCTGTGAAGTTCTCCTTCTATCAAGTCTTAAATACCTTTTGCTGATTTATATTATTACTACTTGTACTATCACAAATGAGCATGGCAAATGCATGTTTTCTTTCCTATTTGCAACAGCCTTTTGTATTTAAAGACAAGTGTCCCCTCAGTATTCTGTCATCAGGACTGAATAACTTAAGTTCCTTCAGTCTTTATTTGTAAGCCATGATTCCTAGAATTTCAGTGATTTTCATAGTTTTGTTTTGAACTAAGTGTAATTTTTCTATAGCATCCCAAAATACAAGTGGTATTTGTGTCAATTTATTAAGAAAATAAAGATCAGCTAGAATCACAGAATTTGTAGAATAATTTGGATTGGAAGAGACCTCTGGAGTCATCTGATCCAATACCAACTCAAAGCAGGGCCAACCTTAAAATCAATCTGGTTTCAAAGTTGACTTTGAGGTAACTGTTATACTGAACCTTTTTCTTCTAATATCCAATTGAAATTTCTCATGTTTGAACTTGTCTCTTGCTCTTCCTCCTTTTCACTGAAAATCTCTTAGAATTATATGTCTTCTATACAACCTCCCATTAGGTGGTTGAAGATACCTTCTAAGCTGTCTCACGAATAGCCAGCAGGAGTAGGGAAGTGATTGTCCCCCCATACTCAGCACTAATGAGGCCACCTCAAGTACTGTGTTCAGTTCTGGGTTCCTCACTATAAGAAGGACATTGAGGTGCTGGAGTGGAGAGCAACCAAGCTGGTGAAGGGTCTAGAGAACAAGTCCTGTGAGGAGAGGCTGAGGGAACAACCAGTAAGCAATGTGCCTTGGGCTGCCTTGGAACTGCAGTCTTGGATGCCGAAGTTAGGTCTGAGGTTTCCTATATGTTCAGCAGAAGGTCCCAGATGTGGTGAAAAGCTATAGCCTTACATTTCTCTATTATTATGGAACATTCCCTAGATTCTTAATGTAGGCAGCAACACTAGATGCCTGTAGCTTTTTAGCTTAAATGTGCATGCAGTGTTTCAACTGAGGGAGCAGCAACTTCTGCATTTTCTAGTAATACCTATCTGTAACTTGATATATTTCAGCTGGTTTGCTCAAAACCTTCATACAGAGAATTTAATAGAATTCCTCCATGTCCAAAATGTGAAATCACTGCATAAGCGATCGAAACTCTGTCATGTTTTGTGGAAGGTAGGGTGGAGGCCTTAATTTAAAGATACCTTGCATAATGGGTTGATTTTTAGTCAAGAACTCTGTGGAACTGCAACAGGATTTTTCAATAACCTGCAGTACATTCCTGATCTTAAGCTGGAAACGTCCGTGGAAATGTTTGGGGTTTTTTAAAGAATATTGAAATTATTACTGAGAACTACTAGGTCAATCATATTTACAAGATGTTTGTATATAAGTTTGTTGGTCAGTATATTTAAAAAAACAAACAACAGCATTTCCCAAACTGAGAGAATCCTGAATAGTAACTCCTAAATTGTTCACACTATTACCATATACAGTATCTACTGTTTATTATTTAACCATACTCTAATGTGTTTTAGCCTATGAGGGGATTTCATTAATGATATTTCAGGGGATCTCTCAAACTGGGCTTTGCCTCTGATGCATTTCTTTCTTTTTAGAATGGCTTGTGTTCCTACCTTCCCAAATAATAGCGCTGAGTTATTTCTGCTTCTAAACATTGATTGCTCATAAACTCTGCGCATAAACTCTTTCTTAAGTTTTATTGGTTTATTAGTTTTAAAGATTAACCAGTGATGGAGTTCTCCTAAAACCAATATTTTCCTTCTAGGCTTTCTAAGAAGTTTAAATCCTTTGTCAATACCAAATGCTAGAAAACTTTTTCTTAGGAATGAGTAAAATAGGCCACCTAGTGGATATGAGGGACTTGATGCAGCGCTGTAGTTCATAAACCAATGTCGAGAAGTACTTGAATGCCTAAAATGAGGCAAGGAAGAGTTGTTGCATACATAGGTCCACTCCTGAGTTTGTCCCTCTGACCATACTAGAAATGGGCCTTTGTCTTTCAGGTCACATAAGTAATTTTGGAAATGCTAGCTATATGCATATGTTAGAATATAAATGTTGTGTCATAGATATTGTTATTAGGTGTTGACCATGACAATTGGAAAAGACTGGAGCAAAATCTTATTTGAGTGTTTACAACAGAACATGCTATTGAAAGTCTCTTCCTAAACTTCCCCTTTTACAAACTTGGAAGTCCTTCACACATCACTGGAAATTTTGTCTTGTTCAGACAATTTTATTTTTTTTTGTAGGCTCTATGCAGTTGGTGGTCGAGATGGAAGTTCTTGTCTGAAGTCAGTAGAGTGCTTTGATCCTCATACAAACAAATGGACCCTCTGTGCTCAGATGTCAAAAAGAAGAGGTGGTGTAGGTGTAACCACCTGGAATGGTTTCTTATATGCAATAGGTGGTCATGATGCCCCAGCATCAAACTTAACATCCAGGCTGTCAGACTGCGTAGAAAGGTAATATCCTGATGGGGGCACATCCTGCTAGGAATTCTAGTAGTGCTAGTCTGCAGAGTGATTTATGGGAAGATCTGAAAGTGGAAACCAAATAAAATGGCCATGTTACTTTTAGCATGAGTAGAGGAAATTTATGTATACAAATATACTGTGTAGTCATATATTATTCAAAAAGTTGCCAAGACAAAGCAAGTTCTTCCTAATCTAGAGATATTTTTTTTTCTAACAATCTCATTGAATGAATTATGATTGATTACTTAGAAAAACTTGGAATTTAATACTTTTGAAAAGGGAGTAGAACCTCTTTCACATGAGAAGTATGTATCAGTTCATATTACAGCTTTTAAAGAAGTTAACAGTCATGGTTTGTGGATCCTTAACTATCCTGTTCTTTCTTGTATCTGGGAAACTGGCATGCAATTCAGTCATTCCAAATTTGGCATCTTTACATAAAGTTGTCAATGAAAGATTGTAATATAAATTGCATAAGCACATGTTATCCATAAAATAATTTAAAATCCCAGTAAATACTTCATAATGCACTGCATTAAGTCTTTGCTGGTATTTAGAGGATTGCTTAAATGAGCCTTAATTTTCTTTCCCCCCCCTCCCAAATTGTAAAACTTCTTTCCTGTTACCTTCCAACATTTACAGTGATACTTCATCACCCACCTTCTCCTTTTACTAAATTTCTTTATGCTAGGAGATGTCATTTGCTCTCCACCAAAAAAAGCCAAAAAACAAACCACCAAAACAATCAAAAATATCCCACCACAAAACAGAGATATAGTTTTCAATTTTTCAGTGCCCTGATAGACCCCAGAACACATATGGAAGTTGCACTAAAAAGACCCGAGAAAGGTTTGCTGATAGGAAGCTACATCTTAGGAAATACCAAATTATTAGAGGACCACAGATAATTAGAAGCCCAAGCAAAAGCAATAGGCCCTTGTATTTTTCTGCATCAATATTCTCTGAAACAAAGTTACAGAACATATTACTTGAATAAGCAGAAATAATTTTGTAATGCATTTTGTCCTTGCTCTTTAAGTGAGAGGAAGTTGAGGACCATCAATCTCATGGAAGTGGTTCCTTTGAAAATTACAAGTTTCATAAATCCACTCTTAGCTTCTGACTGTTTGTTTACCACTGCATTTTGCAACAACAGTCATTTTTTCCAGATAAATACATTGGCTTATAAATTAATTATAAAATAACTTACACTGAAAAGTAAATTTTGTATGTAGGTCACTAATCATCCTCTTTCTCTACATTATACTTCTGTTTGCAGCACACGCTTCGGGGAGTATTTTCATGTTATGATCATGTTGACATGCATTTCTATAGTAGTTTGACTAGAGAACTGCAGGTAAAATTGCTAAGGCTCATTTTACCTATGCTTTTCATGCAAACAGAGTAAGACTAGTATCTTCCAAACTTGCTTTTAGCAAGTGTGATCATAGGATGGTCTCTTAGCTAAATATGTGTTTTCTTCATGTATTTCTTTAGAGCCCTTCAGAGCATTGTGATTATATCACTTCTGCTGTAAGCATCTGTAATCTTAACATTGTCTCCTTCAGTCAGGTTAAAATATATTCCTTGACATAAGAACAACATGAACTCTCCTATATAATTCTCAGTTTGACTTGTAAAGAATATTGATATTATTATAGAATCACATTTGATGTTTTTCATTTAACTGTCTGTTTTTTACTGTGCTGACACTTTTGGTGATACGGAGCTAGATTTAAGAAGTGCTATAAATTGTCTTAATGGTTTTGCATTTCCAAAAAAAAATTCTCAAACTGTTTTTTGCTGGGTTTTTGTGTTTTGTTTTGTTGGGGTTTTTTTAATGGTAATCTTCATGGCAAGTAACTCTGTTTAGTACCACACTCAAATTTAACAGCATGTGCTTTGACATGTAGTAGTTATCACTTAACACCAAGTGCCTGCCTCACTGCAGTGTAGCAGTACAACTGTTTCTTGAGTGGTATGTTTAGAGGTACAATAAGAAAAGTAGTGATAGCAGCTGCATGTCAGTGTGTGTATTACTGTATGGAAAGCAGCACAAAGTAGACAGGTAACTAGTAGTGATTGTGTTACCAGCTGACTAAATAAATGTTTTTGAAGAGTGTTTGGAGGAAAGAGTCCTTTGCAATTAACACCCAAATCTGTGCTGTCCTAATAATACCTGTTTTCTACTATCTTGAGAGCATCATTTTCAGTACACTTTTTTCTGTTTGGCAAGTTTTAGAGCATAACACAAATTATCTTTTAGGTATGATCCGAAAACAGATATGTGGACTGCTGTGGCCTCTATGAGCATTAGCAGAGATGCAGTGGGAGTTTGTCTTCTTGGTGACAAGCTGTATGCTGTTGGAGGATACGATGGTCAAACATACCTTAATACAGTGGAGTCTTATGATCCCCAGACAAATGAATGGATGCAGGTATAGTTTCTGAACAGACCATGCACTACTGTTTATCTTGCTATTTCAAGTGTGCCTCTTTTTACAAGAAGAATTCAAATACTCCTTCTCTAAAAAGCACTTTCTTATTAGTCTGTTTTAAGTCACCCTTCTTTTTCTTTGCCTGCCATCTTGAGATGACTTATCTTGAGCAGACAGTTGTTAATAAACTGTTATAATATACTGTCCTTTCTTTAGCAAGAGTATAGCTATTTTCTTTGACCATTTAATAAAGGTATTGACATTTTCCCCAAACTGTCATAAAGGGTCCTGTTTCCGTCACTTCCTATTCTGAAGATACATTATAAATGTATATTAGTTTTAGCTCTAATGTGTCTCCCACAAGTTTATCAGTTTCTTCAAGGTTCTGGTCATCTTTTCATAATTAACCCCTTGCTGATCTGAATGTGTGCAGCTTTAAGGAAGCCTTTTCCCATTGAGATGACTTATCTTGAGCAGACAGTTGTTAATAAACTGTTATAATATACTGTCCTTTCTTTAGCAAGAGTATAGCTATTTTCTTTGACCATTTAATAAAGGTATTGACATTTTCCCCAAACTGTCATAAAGGGTCCTGTTTCCGTCACTTCCTATTCTGAAGATACATTATAAATGTATATTAGTTTTAGCTCTAATGTGTCTCCCACAAGTTTATCAGTTTCTTCAAGGTTCTGGTCATCTTTTCATAATTAACCCCTTGCTGATCTGAATGTGTGCAGCTTTAAGGAAGCCTTTTCCCATTTCTCTTCACCCAGCTCAAAAAAAAAAAAAAAAAAAAAAAAAAAATCTTCATTATCAGAAACCATTACTGTCAATTCAAAGCTTGGTTAGTTTTACTTTTTTTATAGCTCCAGGAATGTGCCTCTCTGGAAAGAGCACACACAAGGACATCCTGGGTGGGCTCTCCTTTGGTATCTGCTGCCATTTGAGATACCCTAAAGCATCTACATGCACAGAGGGGTGACAGATACAGCACAGAATGAGTGTTAGAAACTATGATGAGTGTTAGAAACTACCTTCCTCTCTTTTCTAGTCCAGAAAAGGATCTTGCCAGAAGTATCTTCTGTTTACAAAAAAAGATTAGACACTGGGAAATTTATTTACATTTCAAGAACTCTTAACAGGATTTTATCAAATTTTCAAGTAAAAAGGAGAGGTTGCCCCTGTCGTATTTGGCATTTTCTGTTTGTTTATAAAAATAATATTTATAAAACCCCATATTCTCTGTGAGTTTTTATCCAAGTTTTAAATCAATTTGCTATTTTTAAAAAATCATTTTAACACACTGTGAATGATAACTGCTACTCTGCTGCAGTTGTTCCTCTATTACTACAAGCATTACCTAAACACCGTCAGTTTTAGGGGTTAAAAAAAAAACCTTCAAGTTGACTACATTATCTCATGGATGTTTTGTTGTGTTTCTGGTTTTTGAGGCTTTTTATGTTGTGTTTTTTGTGCTGAACAGGTTGCACCATTGTGCTTAGGAAGAGCTGGAGCCTGCGTTGTGACTGTAAAACTGTGAATTATTTTCTCTATGAAGGTGACATTCTCCTCTGTGGACTCAGATTATTTGTTTTTTCCTCAAGCAAACTACCAGTGCACCAATAAACACAAGGTGCAGGATATCTATGATGGCAAAGTGTTTGGTCTCAAGCTAACAAGTATATGTTGTTCTTACGGACCAATATTCAGCACTTTTGTAAAAAATCATGTTTGTTACCCATATGTTACAAGAATTCTTTTTTGTAAGAAAATCAGCTGCAACCAGCCAGTGGCCAGCAAAGGACTTCTGTTTAGGAAGTGCTAAGAAATTATTAAACTCGCTAGTGATCTCACTATAATAATCAAATCTTACAGATCCAGAGCCTGGATCCTCCAAACATGCAGAAGGATGATGCTGTAAATGGATTTACTTCCACTGATATAATTGAGTCCATCTCTGGGTAAAACAAGTTATAGGATTGGACCCCATATATTTAATTTGCCTATGATGAACACGTTTGCTATAGATAGCTGAGTTATGACAATGCAGGCTGACAAACCAATGCAAACCATCGTAACGGCAGGTGTAATCCCTGCCTTGGAAATGAAGTTGTGTATTTGGTGAATCTTTTGCACTTTTATCATCATTCCTAGTTTAGCAAACTTTTTATTTAACCAAAGCCTTACTTTAAATATTGTCTTATTATGCTAACAGAAATTTGCTATTTAATAATTTCTGCTGGAGATTTTTGACATCCAGTGTACTTTTTGAATTTTCAAAGTTTATATGTGAGATGCAGAACATTATATATAGCTTTTTCTCTACTTTGGTTCTTATATTTACTTTTGCTATTTTTAAGGGAAAATCTATAAGCGTGAGTTACTGGAAGAATTCTGAAGTGTGATTAAAAGTGAACCCATTTAAGTTTAATATTTGCACTTGGGAATTTTTGAAGCATTCCATTACATCTAGACTAATTACATTTTTACATGAGGCTTTGCACTAATTTGAAAGGTATAATTTTGTAAAATGAAATGAAACAGTTGTCTGTCTTTCCAGGAAGGTTACTTCAAAATGTAAAGGGCCCGATCCTGCAAGGTGCTTAACTGGCACTATTTAAGCGTGTTCAGCATCTTGCAGGGCAGTTACGTTGTACCTTGCAGGATTACATCAAATTAAGTTTCCTTATTAGTTATCTAGTGTTTTCAGAAACTTTGTAATTTGCCTTTCTTGAGCCCTGTTACACAGAATTGCTTTGAACGGTCTGAATGTTCTCAGAAAGTCTTTTTGTATTTGCTTTTCTGTGCCTTGTTCCTTATGTTTTCGGAACAGCAGCCAACGTGTATGTTTGTGATGGAGAAGGGGAAGATCATTGAATGCTCATTGAATGTGTTGCTGAAGTTTGAGGTATCCGATACCCAAAGTCTTTGTACATCTGTAATTTTAAATGTGTTAATGCTCTCGGTGAACTATTTATTGTTTGACAAGGAATTACTGCGCAGTGAAGCTTGGTGCTGAACCCAGCACTGTTCGCAGTTGAATACAACCAGACTTGAACGCAGCGTGTCTCTTCTCCGCTCTGTGCACCCCTCTCCGCAGCCGCACACGTCTCGCTCCGCACCTCCCGGCGCCACCGCCGCGGGAGGGGCG